TCTAGGTTTTATATATGTACTTGATGAGTTCATTAAAAGATCCGATCTGGACGGATGCTTGTTTAAGGTTTTAGGAGAAATGTTAATGTCATGACGGATGGCTTGCAGGCTTTTCGGTAAAAGCAGACCTGGTTTTCAAAGAATTAGTCAACAACTTCTCAGCCATAAAACCAGAGGAGGACAAAGACAAACTGCATGCCTCTGCTTTCCTCACCATTTCTTCGGCTCCAAACCTTCACCTAACAGAACACACAAATGCTGTGCAAAGAAAGAGACTTGTAATCCATGAAAGATACAAATGGAATGAGGCAAAATGGCTTTTTTGCCCTCGAGAAAATGTCAGTTTTACAAGCTGGAAGAAAAAACAAAAGCAAAAGTGGATGCTAGAGCCTCTTCAGATGGCCAAAATCAATGATGATATTGCATTTGGTGCTATGGAAACAAGTATTACACGAACATTAAAATAAAATAAAAGGGTTGTGAATTACATAGAAAGCAACTTTAATTTTTTTAATAAAAAGAGTATATTTATTTAACAACTTTTCGATTATTGATCTTAATAATTTATTAAATTTAAATTCTTTAAAATACCTATAAACAACGATAATATGCATTTATTATCTAATGTGAAATGGAATGTTTGAATCTTTTTCATTTGAATTTTTGATGTTATCATCAAAATATAAATTCAAACAAATTACTCTAAAATGATTCCTATGCAATTTACAACAAAGTTATTGGTCTAATGCTTGTAATTATTACAGAACTAACAACTAAAAATATTTAAATTCAAATTATTCTATAATTGTAAACCATGACATTATATACATATTATGTGAAATTATATACATCTTTAATTGGTTGTCATCTAACAATACATGTTCATCTTTAAATTTAGCCTACATATTACTAGAAAAAATGAGGAATTTATTATAGAGAATGAAATTTGTACAACTTATACAATATAAGGTGTTTCACGCCTTCCTCTCTCTCTCTCTCTCTCTCTCTCTCTCTCTCTCTCTCTCTCGTCCTTAGTGTCTTTGTCCCATAAATCAAGGTGAATCTACATGCAATTACACACACATTCATAGGTTTGAAAGGAGGATCACAAATTCATATATTACAACTGTAACAACGGGCTAGCAGATAATCTTGACAAAGTAAACCTCTGCCGACAAGTTCAACTTCATTTTGTGAGCCAAAGAAAATATGTGTGAATTTGTGTTAGAATTCTTAAGAATATTAATGAATGTGGTTTCCACAATAGTTGATATGTTTTAAATTTTTCTAAATCTTATCAAAATTTCAAATTTTAGACCAATAAACAGTTTAGCTTATTAGGTAATAAAATTATATTTGTATGTCTATATAGTATAGGTAAATATATGTGTGGCCTTTTTTTATTACAAAAGGCTGAAACTTAAAACAAAGCTATATAGACTCAAAATGGAGAGAGAGAACTTCCAAAACATCCTAGTGGAGGTAGCTCCTCAGCTCCTGGATATGAAAAACTCGTTCCTTCCTTCTTCGCTCGATATATGGCTAATTTCCACTTGCCACTACTCGTGAAGTAGAACCTAAATTCTAGTGATGATTGAGCTGATCTTTAGACTACTTCTTCTCACATTCAAAATCATTTCCATGAGCTATTTAGAATCTATCTCCAAGAGGACTAAATATATAGAGTCTTGTTGATAAATTGTAATGATCTAAAAACTAACGTCTCTAGCAACTTATTGAACTACGAATTATTAATCCAAAATATTTAAATTTAAATTATGCGATAGTAATTTTTAATATCTTATATACTATATTATGTCACTTTTAAAATTGATGTAAGATGGGATATCACAATTTTTTCAATTTAAACATTTGATATTCTGGTCAAGTTACAAATTCATATTTTTTTGGATCTAAGTAAAAAAGATTCATAAATCATTTTTACTTTGATATCATTTGTGATGAATCTAGAATTATGTCTCTAACAATTTGTTGAAACTAAACTAGTGGTCTAATATATTTAAATTTAAGTTTTTTAATAAAGTTTTTAATATCTTATATATTATATTGCATTACTTTTATAAAAACAGGGTATCCCATAAGTAATTTTGGGAGAGAGTTCTTGTTATGGTTTCATCTATGATTGATGAAAAAAAAAACATAAAGTAATATCAACATATGTTCTTTAACGTTTTATTTACTGTGTTAACTCATGTGTTCATTAAGATTAACGTCTAAGATTAACGTTTTATTTACTATGTTATCTAATATGAAAATGATAAGATTAACGATGAATGATCAATTAGCAAGAGATCCTTAAACTTATTAGTGATCAAATTCCTTTTGCCTTTCTCAATGGAGACGGGGCAGTGCGGGCCAAAACCCACCATCCTTTTTTTATAATTATTAATTTTTACTCAAAATAAGGATACAAAAAATTAAATTTGACGGTAAAATCATGAATATAAAAGATCTTACAACATAATTTTAATAGAGATAAATAATATTTTACTCTTCAAAAATTTTAAATTTTAGCATTACATACCTTATAAACATATAAGAAAGATATTTTGCTTTACAAAATGTTAAATTAATAGCATTTATTTCTTCAATTAACATTTAAATAAAATATTTATCAAAAATTCTACTTTAATATTGATTAATTTTCTTCTATTTTAATTATCTACAATTTCATTTATACTTAAAAAAATTTATACCTTTTAAATATAGAATTTTGATGAATATCTCACATAAGTATTAATTAAAAAAAGTATATGTTATAAATTTAATATTTACATATATGAATATTTTTTATTATTTTTAAATAATATAATACTAAAATTTAAATTTTTTCAAAATAAAATATTATTTATAATTTTAATAAATATAAATAACTGTCATAAATCTTATTCGATCGATGACGTTAAATAACCAGAGAGAGACGTCGAGAGCTGTTTCGCAACTTCTTCGTAAAAGTAAGGGCAAGATAATCAACGTTGCCTTTCTGACAGAATTTCTTTTTGAATCTGTTTTTTCCTTAATGTTGACCACGACTCCAAAAGCCAGCGAGGGCCACCCTCCAGGGTCTGTGGCTAGCAAAAACCTAGGGGTGGCGCCCCCGCTGGGGGCGGTGGATGGAAGCAGGGGAAAAAGTCAAACGGACGACGCCGAAAAGCAACTCTTGATGTCAAAGTATGGGGTCAAAAGTCCGAAGCCGGTGCAGAATATCGACGAACGACAGCGGTGTTTGTTTTGGGGTCTTCTTTTGATTTTAGATTTTTTTAAAAATAATACAACAAATTTACTTTATTATATCAAATTACAGGATCTAAATTTCCTTGCATTATAGTTTGCCTAATTTGTTGGTCTAATTTATAAGGTTTAATTCGATAAAATTAAATCTTTTTGACACGTATTATTTTTATTTTTTGTTTCACTACACGTATATCTTATTTTTATAAAATAAACTATCATTTATCTCTTCAAAAATTTATATTTTATCCCTTCAAATATTGTTAAAAACATCCCTTTATCTCTTTGTTTTGGCCGTGGCAGTCCAGCGGACCAAACGTTAACATCCTTGCCACGGAAAATGATTCTTCAAAAGACAGGTTGATGAATGAATCAATGTTTGCCACGTGGATTCCTGCCTCTGACTTTCAACGCCCAAGTCCGCCGCACGCACTTCGGGGGGCGGCTTGTTTGGGGCCGTTGAGCGGCAACTTTTCAAAGGGTGATAAAATCCGCCGGGAAAAAATATGCCAATATGAAACCAACATCCTCATTTTTACTAGATATATATGTGTCTAATTAAGGACTTGGTCTTATCTCAAGATGGAGTTCATTAAAAGTTTTGAGAGACATGTTAATATCATGAAAGTCGAATATTGCTTGCCCTTGATAACAACAGAAAGAGCAAGAGGAAAGGAAAGGGCACAAAAAGGGGAAAACAAAATGACATTTTAGTAATACCAAATTTAATACCAAATTATTTTAGTAAGTAAATGTAAACTCAACAATAAAAAAAAATATTCCCTTTATTAATTAAAAATTAATTTCTCAATTTTACAATTTATTATAACTAAATTAACCCAAATAATTTTGGGTTTTTCCGTGATGGCTCACTTGTAGCCCGGTAAAAGTCTGTGCTAAATTTGAGACAGGAAAAAAAGAAAATTTAAAACAGTAATTTAAGCTTTTAAGATAAAATTATCTGAAAATTTTATGTCAACAAAATAAATTAAATAATTTTTTTTCGGGGGGTTGCCAAAAGGAGAAAGCAGAACAATGTGCACTTTTCCAACCGGATAGCGGTTCATCACGTTTTCAATAAAACCATGGTCGTCATCCGTGAACAAATCTTATTACGTCATTTTTTATTGCGGCTTATTATTCTCAGCTGACACGTGGCACCCTTGCTGATTACGGCAAGTGGAATGCCTACTCATCACCCGACTGGCCTACTAGTTGATGTAATTTTGTCGACAACCGAGGTCAACTTCAAAGCCCAGGGACCTGTGGCTCTAGAGAGAGAATCAACCAATCACAATTCGACACCCACGCCAATCTGCCCAAATAAAAAAATGGGAAGAAGAGAAGAAAAGTTCAGAAAAATCTCAATCGTTGTGGGTCCCACCACCGTCCTTACCATCCCAGTGCCGATTTTTTCTCAGTTTCACACGTGGGGATTGACACGTATCGCTATCTCAGGCCTTTCGGATAACAGTATAACAACCCTATTTTTTCACGTGTTTTAAAACTCAAATTTACATCACGTGTTTCTTCCCCCTCACTTCACTTTCTTTATCTCCCCCTTCCGGCATCCCTTGGGGTCCCTACCAGCTGCTACTGTTATGGCCGCAGAAGTCCTACTTGAAATGTGTTATATGTGTAGGTATATATATAGCCCACTCTGCATGTAGAAATTACAACCTAAATCTCGACTTCGTTCGGCTCTTTCTCGATCCGTCACTAAGCATCGTGAAATAGATACATACAAAATGAAGTTTGAAGTGGAATACTCATCTCAATCGTCGTCGTCGTCGTCGTCGTCGTCGTCGTCTTCCGGCGAAGTGGCAGTAATTCCTAGCGGCCCGGTATCTCCGACTAGTGCGGCGCCCATATCGCACAAGCGGAAGGCTGGGAGGAAGAAGTTCAAGGAGACGCGGCACCCGGTTTACCGGGGCGTGCGCCAGCGAAAAGGCGACAAGTGGGTGTGCGAGGTGCGCGAGCCTAACAAGAAGACGAGAATTTGGCTCGGCACTTTTCCGACTCCCGAAATGGCAGCCAGGGCCCATGACGTAGCTGCGCTAGCTCTTCGCGGCGTTTCGGCCAAGCTTAATTTCCCAGAATCCGCCAAAAACCTCCCCAAGCCAAGTCGTCTTCCCCCAGGGACATACAACGGGCGGCGCTTCAAGCGGCTAAAACCTTCGAGCCAGCTACCGTGTCCTCGACTGGCTCTATTAGTTTGCCACACGTCGAGAAGACGAATGGTTCGTTCATGGAGCCATCTTCGAGTGGCACGAGGTTGGTGAGGGGGTTGGACGAAGTTTGGTCTGGAGTGTCGGCGGGGTTCATGGACGAGGAGGCGCTGTTTAACATGCCAGGTTTTCTGGACAGCATGGCAGAGGGACTGCTGCTTACGCCGCCGGCAATGAAGAGAGGATTCGATTGGGAGGACATGGCTTGGGAAATGGATTTGACTTTATGGAAGGATTGATTACTGATCTTAATTTGCTTTCATCTTCGTTTTCCTTTTTGGTTTTCTTTTTAATTACAGAAGAAAAACAAAGAACAGTTTTTCGGAGGTTCTTAATTAGGATGCTCGATCCTAATCAGGCAGTAAGGTTAGAAAATGGAATATACAGACATGTTAAGAGCACCAACTGTAATTAAAAAGCAGTGAATTTAGCCCAACTGTCGATTGATCCATATATACATTACCAAGGTTTATACTTAAAGGACTGGAATTAAAAATTAAATCTCTAACTTTCATTAGCATTTTGTTATCAAACTAAGTTTTGAAGTCAACTGTTCTGCCTTATTGAGTTTATCTTTGTCCCATCTTGTCTCGAGACAAATTAAGTGATAACCATGAAGATTTGAAGGGGCTCAATCTTAATCTTTTCTTCTCTCTCTTCTGCTACTTAGTAGCATGGAAATGTTGTTTTCTTTTTCTTTTCTGGGGGGTTGCTTTCCGGATCTTTTTTGGGGAGAGGGACGGTGATTAAGGTTTGGGAGTGAAGCTTGAGTTTCTCTCCTCTATTTCTGTGTGTGAATGGAGTACGACACGAGGTGGGGTTGTTGGAATGTATGCGGACCGATTTTGGGCGCAAGAGTGGAGTGACACAAGAAAAAAACATAAATTCGATTTTGACCCCTCCTTTCTAAGACAATTTTCAGAATGGTCCCAAAGTTCTATTAGCAGCAATCATCATGTGTAAAATTATCATATGAAATTAAGTAACGATTGGATGCAATACAGAATAAAGTTTTGTCCATAGGTAGAATAGCTCAAAAGAAGGCGAAAATTGCTGCTATTAATTGTCTGTAATGTCGTTAATTATCACAACTTAAAATTGATAATTAAATGAATTAAAAATTCTTTCTAAATGCATTAATAACCTATACTTTTTCTTGATTTTAATAGTTACAATTAATTGAGTGGAATTAGTGATTTCTGGTCATCAGAAATTGGTTGGTCTGATTGAAGTCTGTTCCTTCCACGGGCAATCCAAGGCAAGGTTTTAAGCTTAAGTTCTGCGTAATTACCATCATCTTCGTCTCTACCAGTCTCGCCTCTTTTCTACGTCTTGTTTGGTTTCTGTTGCATGAGTTTATCTGCTCTCTGGTTTTCAAAACTCATCTATCTGGTAAGTAGAATTATGGCTTTTCTGGGTTTTGACCCATCTGTATGATGACAAGATAACTCTACAGAAAAAAGTTTTTCATTTTTTTATTATTTATTTTTCGACAGATGGCTCAATATTGACAAGGACTAAAGTGTAATTTACACAAAAATTTTGCAAAGCATACAAGTTAAATGTGTTCCTCTCATGCAAAGGCTTTTCTGCAGTGCGGTAAATTAATTATAGCTCTTAATTAGTTTGACATTGAGCAACATGTTTAAGAATAATGAACCGTTAAATTACAAACAAACTACAACACGCGAACCACGTTCTACATGTTCACTGTTAGTTATCACCAAAATAATGTTAAAGAAAGCAAAGCAACCACGTGTTTGACATACAAGTTGATGATGACTTTCGCCACAAGCCCGCCATGAATTGTGGCCCAGAGAAGCATAATTCAAATAAAAGTTCTAACTTATTGCAAAGAGGGGTGACTTTATTTTTATTAATTTAACATTCTCCCCACTTTTACGATTAGAGAAAATGGAGATTATGGAGTCTTATCAAGTGTTGCTTGTTTGATTATCTACAGAGGCTGACAAAAAGACGGTGGTTGAGGCGATGCAAACTTTCAACTAACATTATCATGTGTTGACGACGACCTGTTGGTCCCAAACAATGACTTTGCAACTTCACTCCTGTTCGCTCCCGTTCATATGTACTAATATACAGTTATTTATTTATATTTGAACATACAGTAATATTTTTTTTTCTTTTTTCGGAGTCCTTTAGCCTACCCTTCTATTTAAAATATATATTTGTCATCTACTCTTAGGATGATAATGGGACAGGCCTTATAATATCCGAATCCACGTTTGTACTAAAAAATATACCCATAATCAGATTTAGACCTATATAAGTTTGTAATTAAATTCCTATACTTGGTCCCATTAATACGTAATTACCTAGACCTAACCAATAAATTCAAATTTATAATTTATTATAAATAATTTTTATAATTCAATACTTGTAAATATTTGAAATAAATAAAATAATGTTATAAAAAAATATTATTAGAAGTAGTAAAATCTCATATAATATATTAATTTTATAAATATTAAATATCAAATATTATAATATAAATAAAAATTAAATTATTATGAACAATTATATATATATAAGTAACATATGAGTCTGCGCCAAATAAGTATTATAATACCTAGACTCAAATCCATTCAGATAATTTTCTCGTACAACAGTTAGATCTTGCGTCAAGTATGTATTGTAATACCTATATTCGGATCCGTTCCGATAATGTTCACGTATAGCAATTACTTCTCGGTCCAATTATGATCCCGAATTACTGTTCACACTGCTCCAATCAATCTTCTGTCTATTGTCCATTAAAATACTGGGTTTGTACCTGCTCACGTGCAGCTTCAGACTTCATTATTGCTGTAGAAGTGGGCAGGAATTAATTATATGTTGGTTGGTCCCAATTCTAACTGACCAAAATCAATGAATGTATCTTTCATGAAGCACGTGGGAAGCTGTCTCCTTGTTGTACCTACAGCACGTATAAAAACAACACTTGATTCCACATAAGTGTGCTTACTTAGTGTTTTATTAATCACTTGTGTTGGACCATTAATGGTAGGTATTAAAATCAGACCCGCTTTCCGATTATCCCGAGAGTCAGACAGTTTTGTTGAGCGGACCGGCGGATCGTCGACACCTGGTGGCGTCTTAGTGCAGCTGAAATGTTTAAATTTCACCTTAGCGGTAGAACCTGGCCAAGATTATTATGAAGCAAAGTGGTGCCTCCAAGATCCGAATGCATCTGGGTTTCACTGAAACACAAGTCTTGCAGCCACCAGACTGCTTCTGTTCATTAATTAATACATTTATAAGGTATAAACATATCTAGATTTGTAACTTCAGTTAATTCATTTGACCCCAACGGTTAAAGCATTAAATCGTGGACCGGCAACCTCAGTTGCATAGACATGTGCATGACAAGAATCATAAGAAGTTGGATAGATAAAAAAATATGATCGTACGGCTGGGAGGCTTTCTGTGATTGACCTTTGCCTTTCTTTAAAGAAAGAAAGAAAAAAAAATAAAAAAGATCTATCAGACTCGGATTGGTAAATAATCTAATTAGCACCTTTTTTTACTTTTCAAGGGAGTTGAAAAATACTATGATGGCTCCCTTGCTTTATATGTTTAATATATTATTTTTCTTTATTTATTTGTCTATGATTCAGTAATTTCAAAGTTTTTTTTTTTTGATCTTATCAAATAAAAAAAATAAAGAAAAAAATTGTAGTTTTTCACACTTCTTCGTACTAAAAATATTGTTATTTGCCTCTGATTCAGCAATTTCAAAGTTTCTATTTGATCTGATCAAATAGAAAAATAAAGAAAAAAATTGTTGTTTTTCACACTCTTTCATACTATAAATACTGTTATTTGTCTGTGATCGAGCAATTTCAAAGTTTCTATTTGATCTGATCAAATAAAAAAATAAAGAAAAAAATTATTTTTTTCACACTCTTTCATTATAACATTCCAACCAAAAACTCTCATCATATATTTTATATTTTATTTTTATATTAACATAATTAGTGAATTTATTAGTTGTTTAAATTTAGTTTAAAAACTCCTAAATATTTGTGAGTAAGAAGAGTTAGCAATCACTTAAAAATATAATTATAATAATAAATAAAAAATAAATATAATAATAAGAAAAAAAAACTATGATTGAGTGGGGGGGGTCACTTGTCCCCCACTCTCCTCACCACGTTGGTGGCATTTCATTTACTTTTGAAAAAAAAAAAAAAAGAAAAGGAGAGTTATCTTTTGGGAAAGAAAAGGGAGAAAGAAAAAGAGAAGAGGGAAAGAAAGAGAAGAAAAAGATCGAGAGATGTAAAACGAGAGGAAGGGCAGGTGACGGGAAACAAGTTCAGGCAAGGATTGGATAAGTTTTTTTTTTAAAAACAATAATTTTTTTTAGTTATTTCTAATCTAGTTATAATTTAAATCCTTTTAATCGGTTTAGATTTTGGATTAATTGTTGTTTTTATGATTAAAAATCAATAAATAATTTCTATTAGTTTAGATTAAATTTTTATTAATTCATGTTAATTTTGGTAAGAAGATGACTAAGTTAGTTTAGTAAACATAAGATTAAACTGATACTAAAATCTGTCTGAACTCTAATCTAGAATTTTGCCGACACACCTACGGATTATTTTTCATAAAAAAATATAACTATAACTCCTTTTGAAACGTGAATATACCCTAATATACCTAGCTTGACAATGAATATATAATAATATTTTGAGAATTTTCGGAGTACGTGTGTTGTAAAAACCTTGACTTCAAATAAAAATGGTAGAAAATAACTTAATTAAAAATACATCTTATATATGCACTAGCATATTCCTACATTCACACACAGTTTTGTCATGTTATTGATAGCGTATGTGGTTACAGTTTAGGATAAGTATACCAACTAGTCAATGAGTCCAACAGGACTAAGTCTAAACACACACAATATCAGTAGAGGTGAGTGATCTTTTTCTTAAATTCAAGATTTTTCTAAAATAGTAAAACTAATAATTTCGTACTAATAAATGTTTTATTTCAAAACTAAATGTTTTATTTTTGAAATATTTTTATTTATATGTTATGATTATTTTGTTATAAGATATGGAAACAGAAATCACATTTTTATACCGTATATTATAGATGTGAATGTTTGCAATTCACTTGAATAATTCGCTGGATAGCCACGTCAGTGTGGCAGTACTACATGATTTATTTGCCCAGTGAGATTTTACGATACCAACAAGTCATGTATATT